TATTCAGCCCGGCTGAATTGAAGTTTTCCTATGGAAAATCCTATCAGCCCGGCTGAATTGAAGTTTTCCTATGGAAAATCCTATTCAGCCCGGCTGAATTGAAGTTTTCCTATGGAAAATCCTATTCAGCCCGGCTGAATTGAAGTTTTCCTATGGAAAATCCTATTCAGCCCGGCTGAATTGAAGTTTTCCTATGGAAAATCCTATTCAGCCCGGCTGAATTGAAGTTTTCCTATGGAAAATCCTATTCAGCCCGGCTGAATTGAAGTTTTCCTATGGAAAATCCTATTCAGCCCGGCTGAATTGAAGTTTTCCTATGGAAAATCCTATTCAGCCCGGCTGAATTGAAGTTTTCCTATGGAAAATCCTATTCAGCCCGGCTGAATTGAAGTTTTCCTATGGAAAATCCTATTCAGCCCGGCTGAATTGAAGGTTTCCTGTGGAAAATCCTATTCAGCCCGGCTGAATTGAAGGTTTCCTATGGAAAACTTCATGGAAAACTTAAATTCAGTCTTATGTACAGCCTCATGCCCTTCCCATCTACTGCTCACATATCCAAAGCTTTGATTGCCCAATAATCATCCGTGGATGTTGTTCAGTTTTTGTTTTTTTTTTTTTTATTAAAAAAAAAAAAAATGTCTCGTCGAGCATAGATGTGACCAAGTGTGGCTAATAAAAAGTGCATTCGAGTGTTAACAATTAGAAGTGGCAACACTTTGACCCACGTGCACGTAGACATGAGCACCACCGCCCGCCACGAGAGTATCAGCATTTTTCTGCTTCGTCGGTTGGCAGTCGAACAAAATCAGTGGTGCTATACTCAGCAGCACACGCCTGATGTGCAACATTTCGGTGTGCCGCGTAATGGCTTAGTTTGGCCTATTGTGGCCTGGTTAGACACGCCATGGACCTTCCCTCCTATCCCTTTTACAGTTCCCGCTACGTGGAATATAGTTCCAAATATTTCACCAAAAAAATTCAATTGGCAACAGACAGCCTTTGGAGATGAAAAAATAAGCAAAGCAAAGCAAAAAAAAGTTCAGATATTGACGTTCGTGTGCGCATTAGAGATTTATTTCTGCTGCCAATGCTTTGGAGTTTTCCAAAAATGTGACAAGTTTGGTTTGCCTTGTTGAGTGCTGGCTGACTGGATGGTGATGGTGAGTGGAGTGTGTGTGTTGGCTTTAATTTAATTTTGTCACAATTTTTTTTTTTCATTTGGTTTGTCTCCTTAACCCAGCTACGCTCCTTGGAACTACCACCACCACCTCTTCTGAAGACTGTTGTTGGTTTTTTTTGGAAATTTGTTTCTTTGCATTGTAGATAAGCTGGAAAAGCTGGATGGTTGACTGTTGTGGTGTACTGGGTTGCCTGAATACAGCGCTTGGAATATAAAAGGAGTTTTTTTTTATCCAGGAGATTGTTCGTTTTGAGGTTGCCCGGCTATGTTTAGAGTGGATTTCGAAGTTGCATCATAAATCGTGCCATAAAGGTCGTTTGCGGGTGTCACTTTGGCAATTTTCTTATATTACATGCAGAAAATCATGTTTGTTAATAAGAAGGTACGACGACGTAGACGACAACAACAATACCAACTGCAGTGCTGTCGATATCAGTAGCCTAGGAAAAAGCTTTGCCGTCACTTTGTTTAGAGCATAAAATGTGTACTATCACAGCAACGAACTGACAATGTCCGTTAAAAAATTGTTAAGCCTAAGGTAACCCTTTGACCCGGAAAATGCCTATGAATGTTCTCTTTTTTTTTCGTTGTGGTGGAAATAGTACAAGTCAACAACAAAGTTGTCATATGAAAATGGAAATAGTAACCGTTCAATTTTGAGGTATCTCCAAGATGTTTGGAAGGGGGATAGTAGATACATTGCGTTAATATTTTCTATGATTTACTTCAAGAGACGATATGGGAAATATGTTTGGTTAATTTTTTCCAGACAAATATTTATGAAATTTGAAAAAAAAAACACGGATCTCATATTTTTTCCAAAATCTGTGACCCCAGTTAAATTAACGAAGTTTTAAATGTTTTTTAGCAAATAATTTAAATTTTGGGTCATTATATCTCAAGATCTATACTAAGAGCGAAATCATCAGGAATTTCTTTATTTTTATACCCTTCGCCATTCTATGGAGGATATATTGGTTGTGTCATTCCATTTGTAACTCTTCGAAATATTCATGACAGACCCTGCATATTATATATATTCTGTATCAGAGTAAAATTCTAAGTCGATTTAGCGATATCCGTCTGACTGTCCGTGTTTCTGTTGTAATCACGCTATATGTCGAACGAACTGTTTTTTGCAAGAAAGCTGGTTAAGCCCCCATATACCGGTGCCTCCCGATATTCGGTATTTTGATAATTTTAGCGACATTATTCAAAGGAATTGTTTCAATTTTTCTATAATAATGGATACTACAGCTTATGGCAAAAATTCGTATGCAGGTCCACGTGTTCGTATAGCTCTCGTATAACGGGTTTCATTTAACCGGTATTTTTCGGACTTTTTATGAAAATTTCAAGTCCCATCCAAATGGTGGAGGGTGGAGGCCCGGCTATACTTAGCTGCTTTTTTACTTGTTCTTAAATCAATAGATTTATATGAACCTTACAGACTAAAATATATTACAGTAAATATATGCTATGCTTTTATATCCTCTACCATAGTATGGAGGTTATATGACGTTCGTCATTTCGTTTGTCCATATATTCTTGATCAGCAAAAAATTCTGTGTCAATTTCACGATGTCCGTCCGTCTGTGGAAAACACTCTAGCTTCCGAACGAAATGAAGTAGTTTGATAAAATTTTACTTAGACGTGTTTTAGGTCTGCAGCAATTTTTGGTATTGAAAATGGGCTATATGGGTCCACTTTTGGTATAGCCCCCAAACTGTATCGACAGATTTAAGTTTTGTTGGTGTTTCAGTCGCAAATTTGATCCGAATTTTATGTAAATTGGCATTATTCATTTCCATTATGTAAAAAGCAGCCTCGCAGCCCCAAACTGTCAATATTGGTCTGAGTTTTAGTATAGTCTCCATATAACTGTACCTCCAGATATTGATATTGATGATTTGTGTCACACTTTTCACCGGAAATGTTTCAAATTTGGAATTTTAAGTTCCTAATGGGTACTACAGCCTGTGACAGAAAATTGCTCTTGGAGGTCCATGTCTTTGTATGGGCCCCATATTACGGTCTATTCGGTATTTTGATGATTTTAGCTATATTATTGTTTCAAATTTCGTATTTGAAGTTCCTTATGGGTACAAACATCTGGGACAGGCAGTCATGATGCAATGGCGTGTGAAAAGAAAGGTTTAGGGGGAAAGGATGAATCTTGAATTTCGAAATTTTGTATTTGGTGGTAGGTTTGCGAGTCGATTTTAGAAATGTGTAATACAAGTGAACGAAAAGTACTAAATAGTACAATATTTGGTACAATTTGGTTTTGGGTGAAAAGATGGTATCTTAAATTTGGTATTAGGACCCCTGTTCATATGTAACCTGGACACATAGAGGTGGCTTTTGTAAATGTGTACTATAAATGCACTGGATAGTACCATATTTGGCATTGGGTAAAGGGATAGAGAAACAATTCTGAAATTTGAAATTAAGATAACTAATGGGATCTGTGTTTGAGGTTTGGCGGTGGTTTGGAAATTTAATATTGAGTGAAGGGATAGAACTGGGTTGCTCAAATTTTATATTGAGGTCTCTTTGGCATCTGGAATTGAGATATGAAGGTGGTTTTGGGAATGTGTACAATAATTGTTCGAAAAGTACTAAATAGTACTAAATTTGCGTACAATGCGTACTAAATGTTACTAAAATTGGTATTAAATAATGGGATACGAGTGGAATCCTTAAATTTATTATGGTAGCTGGAATTGAGATATGGAACGTTTTTACAAATGAGTACAAAAATGATTGGGTAATGGTGTTGAGATCTGGTTGTGGTTTTGCAAATGCGTACTATAACCGTTCGAATAGTACTAAGTAGTACTATTTCTACAACACTGTTGGCCTCTAGGGTGATGAGATGTAGATTGTTTTGAATATGCGTACTAAATGTTACTAAATTTTGTATTGGGTGCAGGTGGATAGGGCTGAAATTCTGAAATTAGAGCTTTGTGAGAGGGTCGGTAAAAATCGCCATCTTAATGTAAGTAACGTACAGCAAAGATTCCAACCATCACCCATGAAGTTGAGATGTAATTTCCAGGTGAAAGTAAATGTATTAATCAAATGGGTGTTTACTCTAGAACTTTGTCGATTTTTTCTACTCTAAGCTAACCTAAATTCCACTCCCTGGATTTTCATATCTTGCCACCCAATATCCGTCTTTCAACCCATATGTTGCTCTGGGGTTTTCCCTTTCCATTTGTTAGAGATTTCATACAAATTAGCATTTAGTATCGACTGTACTCTACAATCAGACACACTCACACACTGTGACGTTCAGCAATATTTCAGAAGAGCAAAAAAAAAAGAAAACTGAAATCAGCTACGACAAAAGATCAATTAAGTGGGAGTGGACCAGTCGACCAGTCACTAGACATCAACATTGACAACAATTGACAACTTGCCAAAGCGACAGTCCCAGTTCAACGGAAAAAAAGACTAACAATTTCATCTGAGTTTTTTTTTTTGTTAGCTAAGGGGTTGGGAAATACATGCCATGTACCTCCCACCCGGTACCCCCCTTTTCTACCCACCATCCACCTCTATGGAAAATGATGTATAAACTTTGCAAAACCTTTGTCTCTCTGTTTTTTGTTTTGTTTGGAATGATGAAATATCACTCGCCATATTATATTTCACAGAGAGGAGGAAAAAATTTTGAAAAAGGAAAAAACTTGTAATGTTGGTTAATAACTCCATTACCGAGCTGGTCCATGGATGTGGATGGAGGTTCGGAAAAAATATTATAACTCAAATTACTCGCAATTAATTAAACATAACATTTTATTTTGCACTTACCTTGATTTCGAATTAGCGACATTTGTTGCCACCATTTGAGGCTGTGGCTGAGGCAGCGGCTGCTGTTGTTGTTGATGGCTATCGTTTGTCGTCGTTGTTGTTGACATTCGTGGCATTAGAGGCGGTGGTGGCGGTGAGGATTTCATTGTAGCACCAATGGGCGAATGCCGCGTTTGGGTTATGGCAACATTCTCTTGTATGGCTGTTATGGACGAGGACGAAGACGAGGAGGAACTGGAGGCTAAATTATGTGGTCTTTTACGGGTCGAAGATGAAATGGTTGTGGCCCGCAATAATTCAGGTTGTAACTTGTTGAGTGTTGCTGGCGAGGGTCTGGATACCTGGACCAATTCAATACTGGCTGGCTTCCTGGGAACCAATGGTGGTGGTCCTTTTGTGATAACCGATTCATTTGATGCGGTACGTTGAAAGAAATTTCCAGATTTTCTGGTCGAACCACCGGCAAAACTGTTGCGACGATTCGGCGAGGGAGGTTTGGTCATTAACTCTTGATTCAGTTCGTTCAGGGGTTGGCGTTGCAGAATTTCTGGTGGTGGTGGAGGCAAGGGTTCATCGGAGAGACTGGTTTCACTATCCAAACCTGGCGGTGGTGGTGGCAAGTCAGGGGAAGGAACTCGTAAATTGGGATTTTTGGGTGGCCTCTCTGGTACCCAGCCATCTTGCACAGGCGGTGGTACTGGAGGTGGTACATTACCACCCGGCAAATAAGCCATTTGAGGCGGTGGAGGAGCAGGATGATGATGGCCATGTGGAAGGGGATGATAGTTGACATTCTGATGCTGATGAGGATGTAGCTGTTGATGGGTAAGGGCAGCAGCTTGTTGCAGCAATACCTTATCGCGTATGCCAGCATAATCGGAGGCCGAGGATGTCCTACGGCCTGACATAGAGGCACGACCCCTGGGCGGTGGAGGAGGTGGTGGCATGCCACAGTCATTGAAAGAGAACTTTTCCGAACTGGATATGTTTTTAATAGATTGCGATTGTAATTTGTCCTGGGAAGCAGATATAAATTGATCTCTTAACTCGGAGTAGTCGGAGGCTGAAGATGAACGCCTAAGCAGTGTGGGCATCATAGACCGCGATCTGGGCGGTGGTGGTGGAGGAGCTGGCGAAGGTGGTTTGTTTGATGGTGATAAATTCGTTAGATTCCGGGAACTAAAGGCATTTTTATCCTCGGACAAAGGTCTTTGCAGGGGAGGGGAGTTATAATTGCTGGGCAAGGAGTTTCTCAGCAATACAGTGGCCACTTGACCATTACTGTCGGTGTGGCTGAGGTGCTGCGGTGATCCTCCAGGTCTTGATGAAAAAGATTTGGGTGAGTGTTGTAGACTTTCCATGGATTGATGTTGTTGAAGTTGATTTTGCTGTTGTTGTTGTTGCTGCTGTCTTTCGAAATAGGACTGCACGGCATTTTTCTGAAAAGCCTTGAGAGCAGGATTGGGAACCCGATGGGTCTTGTTGGGATCTAAATAGGTGTATTTTTGTGGCTGCTGATGCTGTTGTTGCTGGGGATCGGCTGATCTTTCAAAGTCATTGATTAAGGTGGCCACCGACTGCCAACTCGGCTGTGGATAAGTTGTGGCCGGAGAACCCAGTTTTGATGTTTGGCTAAGATTGCTAAGACTACCATTTCCTGAGGGTGAATGTTGTTGCTGCTGCTGGGCCAAAGATTTTTGTGGTTTCTGTAACCCTGTGCTATACTGAGGCTTAGGATGATGTACAAAATGCGAGGTATTACTATGGACCGGTTCGGTATAGGTGCTAACGGGGAAGAGACGATGATTGTTGCGATATGGCTGGGATTTAATGTCCGCCAACGAATCCATTGAAGCTGATACAGGAGATTTGTGTTGTACCCCAGCCATGTTTAAGGAACTTGTCGAATTGGCCAATCGTCCGGGAGAATTGGCCTGGGAAGGCGGCTCACTAGTCTGTGATGCAGATGGTTTAGGTGCTGGAACCGGCGGTGGATGAGGTGATATAGTGACCACAGCCTCACTGTTTGTTATACTAACGGAAATATTTGTTTGTGATGAGGTTTTCTCATTTAGCTGGGATTTACTGCTCAGTTCATTAGTGGTGGCCAAATGGCTGCTGTGATTGTGATGGCGATACATGGTGTGTGATGTCTGATGAACTGGCGGATAGCTGGGACTGTGACGATGATTCGGCACCAACTGTGAAGCAGAAGAATTTTGAGCATGTGTCATAAGTTGGGAAGTGTTTTGTTGGGCTGATGAGGTGGGCGATCGTCCAGGTTGATCCTCGTTGCCCAGCAACACACTTTCACTTTGATGGCGTTTGGGTGTCAAGACCCTGGAACTATGGACAATCAATTGGGAAGTGGAAACTAAAAGAAATGAGAGAAAGAGATACAATTTTAGTATGTTTTTCAGGTTGGAGATTTCCTACAACTCACCAGATTCCGATATTGCCGAAAATCCTGTGGCATGGCTTACTTCGGAGACATCACTCATCGAACCCAGCCATTTCAAGGTCTCTGTAGAGGAAGTACTTTCGGAACTATTGTTATGCTGTAGTTGTTGTTGTTGTTGTGTAATGCTGGACACACTCAACTCACTTAAATCACGATCACGAGACATAAGTGAGGTGGGAGATGCTGCCACCGAAGTGGACGCCAAAGATGACAGATCGTTTTGTGACCAATTATGTGATGCTTGACGTGATAGTAAATCGCTTTCCTGACGTAATCTGCGAAATAAAGTGTAAAAAGAGAAACAGCAGATTAGTTTAAAGCAGCAACAACAAAAATACGATATTATTTTCACAACAAAAATAAAAACAAAAACGAAAAAAAAATAATGAAAGCGGAACTCTTGTTGTTTGATTTTCTAAGCGTAATTATGAGTTTGGAGTCTTCAAATCAAAAGTGTTTGTTGACTGCATTCGGACTCCAACCCCTTGAAAAGCAAAAACGGCAAAGAGAAGAGTTTGAGTGGCATGGCTTGGCTTCGCTAGATAGACAGCCAGCCAGCCAGCCATCTTACCTACCAACATAAGGTGGTGGAGTGAAGTCTATAAATTGAATTATTTTTTTGATTGTTTTATGGCCAACGGCTACTCGAGCGAAACAAGTCATGGGTAGTACTCCAAGTAAACACAACAAACACACATTCATTTAAAAGTTAGTAAACACCCCCTAGATCATCCTATCATGAATTCCAACTTCTCCTTCTTATTCTCTTCCTCCACTTCAAAATCTTTGCCATCAAACAATTTAAAACTAAATCAAATGTTAGTCAGTCAGCCAGCCAGCCAGCCAGCCAACCATTCTGAAGGCATAAACTGCCTGACTATATGGTTGAAGGTCAACTCCATGACTCGCTGTTATTCACATTCAAGTGCTGTTGAAAGTTGATCGTTTCTCCCGCTCTTCTGGAGCATTTGAAACAACAAACACTAGATTGTATTGTGTCTATGCTACCAAATTGCGATTTGGATTTAGATTTCATTTTCATTAGATTTTGTGATTTGCTATTCTTATTGTTGCTGTTCGCTTTTAACCATAAATTAAAATGTGAGCATATAAAATTGGGCACTTAGCCCCAATAACAAAAGAACGTAAACAAACTTGAAAATTCATGCCATTCTTGAAATCTTAAAACTATTTCTAACTTCATTATTGTTAATTATAACGATTGACCAAAACCAATTCAAATCAAGACTCAATTTTCAATTTGTTCAACGTTTGAAGACAAAAAAAAAATAGTCGAGATGTCAATGTGGTTTAAAGGGAAGGGTTATATCTAGGGGTTGTGTAATCATTTTTAATAGACGAGATTAAAGTAGGTATTTTTTAGACGAACTTAAGAGAATATTTTTAAATCGAGTTGAAGAGGGGGAGAGAAGGAAGACCTTATATAGACAAGATGAGGGCAAGAGTATTTATACGGGCGATTTGAAGGCAAAGAGTATTTATAGAATTGAGAGCAGCGAGTCTTCAACAAGAGAAAAGCTTAGAGCAGGTAAAGGCAGGGAGCTGAAGAGCTGAGTTCAGGGAATCTCTTTACATAGACGAGCTGAAGCCAACGACCCCAAGGGGAATACTTTTGGACTAGTCTGAGGGGAGCCTTTTTAGACGAACCTGAGGGGAGTCTTTTTAGACGAGCCTTAGGGGAGTCTTTTTAGACGAGCCTTAGGGGAGTCTTTTTAGACGAGCCTGAGGGGAGTCTTTTTAGACGAGCCTGAGGGGAGTCTTTTTAGACGAGCCTGAGGGGAGTCTTTTTAGACGAGCCTGAGGGGAGTCTTTTTAGACGAGCCTGAGGGGAGTCTTTTTAGACGAGCCTGAGGGGAGTCTTTTTAGACGAGCCTGAGGGGAGTCTTTTTGGACGAGCTTGAGGGGAGTCTTTTTAGACGAGTCTGAGGGGTGTCTTTTTAGACGAGCCTGAGGGAGTCTTTTTAGATGAGCCTGAGGGGAGTATTTTTAGACGAGCCTCAGGGTAGTCTTTTTAGACCTTTCTGAGGGGATTCTTCTTAAAAGAGTCTGAGGGGAGACTTTTTAGTCGAGCCTGAGGGATTATTTTTAGACGAGCCTGAGGGGAGTCTTTTTAGATGAGGTTTTTAGACGAGTCTAAGAGAGACTCGTCTTTTAAGTTTTCTATGCATATACGAAGCCTTATGTGTATAGAGGACCATAGGAGGAAGATCCTGTTCACAAAAAGGCCTCTAGGAAATTTCATGCATTAAAGACATCCCGACACTTCTGTGTACAGAAGACCTTCCCACCTCGTCCATGTAAAAGAGAGGACCTACAGACTGTCAGTTATATTTAAAAACCTTAGAAAGGTCTTGGATGTACTGAAAATTCCTCGAGGATAATGTAGGTATTGAAGGTCTCCAAAATGTTGCGTAATAGCTCCAAGAGGACTTTGTGTATAAATGTCCTCTGGAATATTTTCTATGATTGGGAGAACCCTTAGTACGAATGAACTATGTACAGAATACCTGCTTCATATTAAAGACGGGTTTACACGTCATATTAGAGTCGTAAATAAAATAAATATTTCATATTTATTTTTAGCATAGCAGGGTTTCAAACATTTTGGAGGTGCTTAAAAGTATGCTGTACTTTCTTCTAATTTGAATGTAAAAATCACTTTTTGTGTGACTCAAATATTATGTGTAAACTAGTCTTATGCTTTCAGTTCTAGATATTTAAAGCTTCCTCTTAAAATGTTTTAATTGAATTTCCGCTTCTATAATTACTTAATTCTTTGGTCATTTCTTATCCTCTCACCGCTCCCTTTTTCGAGCTGTCATTTCCTTCAAGTAACGACCAAAAACCACATTCCAACCTGTTTCTCAACACGTCTTTTATTTTTCCTGATCTATTTTTGTAAAACAGTTTCAAGCCACAAAAGATGCTCGGTCCCAAAATAGAAGTCCGGTAAAGATATTTTTACAAAAAAATTATGACACATCCACTGTTGTTTGTTTTTCTTGGAGTTGCAAAACGCGCCTCGCCACACTTTTTACAGTAGCAGGCCCAATATTTGTTCAATGCATTGATAAAATGAAGAAATGGCCGACAATGTAGCTGGAATGAGTCTCAAATGGGTTGGGCTGCCATGTAGCTGTGATTAGATCAAGAGCAGCCTCAGCAGTAGCCGATGCCAAAGTAGCAGCAGCACCAGCATGAATAGCATTGTCACACTTGTACTTGTAGTATTTGTCTATAAATGGTATAAATTAAAATGTAAAACATGTGCTATTTATGATCGCCACTGTCACTTCATCTTGGCAGATGGTTGGCAGTGGGGGGCTGTGAAAAGAAAAAAAATTTTAAACTAAATAATAGCCATGATGATAATTGTCTGGATCATTATAATGTTGATTTTTCTCTTTCTTCGCAGAGAAAACATTTTGTTGGGTGTTGCCGTTTTGAAAATTTGGTCGGAGTTTTGTAAATTGACCGGAATGTTTTTGTAATTTTTACAAATTAAGAAACAAATAAATTTTAAACCTGACGTCAATGTTAGTAGAGGGGGGGGGGGTTTTGTCAAGTTACCCCCTCTTTCAACTTTTTAAAATTGTTTAGATTAAGATTCTTCGGATTATGCTTTTAGGTATATAGTGTAAAAATATGAGGAATATTTTGGTAGGAAATTTTAACCCTCAAGCGATATCAGATACAGTCCAGAAATACCTCTACCAAATTTTATGAAGATCGGTTTAGATTTGGATATACCTCCCATATATTTCTTCAACCGATGTCCGATTAATTGTGCAACAAATAGCCAATATCAGTCCAAATTGAGTGAATTTCGGCGAAACTCGCCTCCGATGCATACTTCTGTTTATATAATCCTTCTCAAAGTGAGTGATCATGCACTCTATAGCAATGTTATTTGGTATTAGAGATAAAAATGTTTCCGTCAAATTTGGTGAAAATTGATTCAGAAATGGATATGCCTCCCTCTGAAGCCAAATTATAACTGCTCTAAAGCCAAAGGTTGATCGGTGGTATGACCTACTTCAAATAAATTCCCAATAAAAATTCTTGTGTTACGGGAGCTCTACTTAAGTGTAGGGTATCATATAGTCGGCCCACCTTGAAAAGGAAGGTATATTAACTTTGGCATTCCGTTTATAACATCCCTAAGTATTCGCCGTAGACCCCATATAGTACATATGTTCATGATCTGCATAATAAATATATCGGTCCGTTTTGGTATAGCCGCCATATCCCGATATTTGGTATTTTAATGATTTTCGCTACATTTTTCTACGGATTTTGTTTACAAATCGGTATTTGTAGGTTATAATGGGTTCCTTCTCTAGTGGTGAAACAAACTGTACCTCTCGATATTTGGTATTTTGATGATTTTTGCCACATTTCCCACGGATTTGTCTAAAAATTGGTATTTGTAGTTCGTATAGGGTTCTAGCTCCGGTGGCGGAACATGGTATATATGGGTTCAAGTTTTGGTATCGCCCCATATAACTGCACCTCCCGATATTCCGTATTTTGATTATTTTTGCCACATTTTTCAACGGATTTGTCCAAAAATTGGTATTTGTAGTTCATAATTGCTTCTAGCTCTGGTGGCAGAACATTGAATATTAAGGTCCACGTTTTCCTATAGCGCAGATATAACGATATCCACCGATATTCTGTATTTTTTAACCTAGTTCATTTAAGCTGTTTCAAATTTGGTATTTAAAAAGATTTAGTAGATGACAATCCTTGAAGTATACTTCAATACAATTTTATATATAAAATTGTCTATGGAGATTCCCGTTTTGCTATGGCCTCCATATAACAGGCGCATGCACTTTATGTTTTTTTTTTCAAAACTGTCTTGTATTTGTAGTATATAGTGGATTTTTTGAATTCAGATATTTTTTTATAAAAAAGTTTTCCTTACCCAATGGTGGAGGGCATTAATAGATCGGCTCGGTCGAACTTAATGTTTTTTACTTGTTCTTACTGGTTTTATCTGGCATATTGCCGAAGACACTATATGCCTAAAATGCACAGATTCCGAGGAATCTTAATCTTGAAATTTCCAAAAGTGTGGAAAAGTGCAATTTCCCCCCTATTTGCCCCCTTTATTTAGGTAGCTTTGCCATGTAAAATTTAAAAAAGTCGATACCCATGTCTTCTTTTTTAGCTCTACTTTCATAATATGTTGGATTTTCTCCGTAATTATTGAAAAAATTAATTGTGCCGCACAGTGTAATTAAGCCGCTTTTTAGGATTTTGGTCGGTTTTAGAATATGCTAAATTTGATCTGAAAATTAAGCTCTAACGACAACACTAAGCTCCCAACCAACTATTGATAAATAAATGAGAGAGGGAGAAATAATTTAATGGCACATTTTCTGTAAAGAGTTGTTGTCGTTAGAGATCGACGAACCACCATCAACATCATTACGATGGAACGATCCATCGATAGATTGTTTAGATGGACGGAATTTAGTTTGGTATGATCATTGCAGCTTGGTTGGTTGCCTGGTTTGTGCTGTTCTGTGCTGTGCCGTGTTGTTGGTGGCATGCCACAGCGTATATGGCAAAACATGAAATCAGTTATGAATGTCACCGACATTGCCACATTTTGTTGATGCTACTTCCAAGGAATGTGTTTTGTGCGAATGATCAACTCAAACTTGTTTCCTAGCAAAAACCAAGCGAACCGAATTGATCCTCTTGAGCCAACTTCAAGCAAATGAAAGAAGAAGAAGAAGAAGAAAAAATAGAATGCAATAGCAACAACTCGTTTAGCAGCTTGTAATAGATTTTTTGTATTATTTTGATTTAAGTAAAAGACAAAAACAACAACAACAACAACACGAACGTCATCATCATCGAAGATGTCGTTTGGTAAAATGATGGTATTTGATAACATTGATTACATGTGAAGTGAAAAAAAAAAAAAACCCAGCAACAATGAAGTAGAGAATTCTTAAGGAAGACGCCGAAGAATAGATTGGAACATCATCTAACCCTATAAAGTAAAACGATAAATGTGACAACTTCAAATAAACTTGCATACCAACACAAAAAGATAGATAGACAGACAGACGAGCAAATCAATTCAATAATGACATCTCTGGAATGTTGATTCTCCTACCACCATTTACGAAGATGATTTGTGGGTGCTGTAACTTAGAGAAGATCAACAATGGCAATAGGATGTATTTATTTAGAAAGTATGAAGTATAGTATAAAAAATAGAAAAAACGTGGGCAATTTTGTTCATTGGCTCTTAAAATGAAAGATTTTAGGAATGTTTTTAAGGCTAGTGGGGATATGGAAAATTGTTCTTTATAAAAAAGTACAGATATTGTACCAGAGTTAGTTAAAGTTGGAAAAAACAGTATCAGTCGGGTTTGCCGACAGATCTATACCTTCAGCCAATGTTCGATTATTTAAATATACAGGGTGAGATAAAAAAAAACTGCAACAAAGTCAAACGCCATAAATTTTACATTTTTTTTTAATTTTATTGAATGAAGGCAAACAATGTCGGAAATAGCATCAAATTTTAGAATAAGTTTAGATTTATTCGAATTGGTCACCTTTGGCACGAATTATGGCCTTCAAACGGCCAATGAAACCGCTACACGCAGCCCGAATGTTGCACTGCGGTATTTTGGCCCATTCCCGGCGAAGCGCTTGCTTGAGGTAATCGACACTTTGGTATTTTTTAGTGCCAACATTGCTTTCCAAAATACTCCAGACACAATAGTTCAACGGATTGGTATTCGGAGATTTTGGTAGCCATTGTGCTCGGGAAATGAAGCGAGGAACCTAATTTTGTAACCAACCTCGGGTGGCGCGTGCTGCGGCCAAAATGTTTGCGAGCCCTGGGCACGCCTCTAGAATATTTTCGCGATAATATTCGGCACTCATTCTGAAGCCACTGTCGATAAACACGAGCGGAGAGCGTCCATCGGCTGTTATGGTGGCCCACACCATCACCGTGGCCGGCGCTTGAGCTCTGGTGGCCATCCGAAGGAGCACATTCTCAGCTGACCTCTTTGGCAATTAAAAACGATCATTTTGTTCGTTTATATACTGCTGGACAACGAATGTTTTCTCATCGGAGAAAACCAAATTTGGCAGTTCACCACTTTCGGCCAAGCGAAGCAACTATTTAGCTGTTTTGAGTCTACTTTTTGGAATTTCAATGGCTTTACCCCGAGCCCATTTTTCAATATTTGCCGAATGGAATATTGTGATATGTTCTACTCACGATCCATTTTTTCGGCCACTGCAACGCGGGTTTCGATCAAGTCGCTTCTTTGCTTTTCGAACCATTTCTGCTGATGTTGCTGTTTTCTTCCGTCCACTTTCTTGACGTCGAGCTACGCTACCAGTATCACGGTAACGAGCGATGGTACGAGACACAAAAGATGTATTCAAATTTAAATGCTGGAGTGCTCTAACGATAGTTTCTTGTGGTTTTCCAGCCAAATATAAAGAAGTTACATTATCACGCTTGAATTCCATCAGGAATAACTTTTTTTCTGGAAAATTCTCACTAGAATAATATTAACAGCTGTCGGACGAGTGACTTAGAAAAGACAGCAGTCTGAAGTTGGCTGCAGTTTTTCATCTCACCCTGTAGTCTAATTTATCATAATGTTCATTGTAGTGAATGGTCTAATGAAACACTTTTTTAGGCAAAGTGCAAAATTGTTTAACATGACACAGTACAGCTCATGTGCTCGATTGTCAAACGTTCGAATTCCAACTAAACGAAGAAACAACAACTCAATTGCTTAATGGAACTAGTTCCAATATTTTTTAAAATTGTTATTACTTATTAGTACTCACCTATCCAACATTGGTGTGGCCGATGTTGAATCGGAACTGGACACATAACTGTGATAACCTTCCGACTGGGCGTAGGATGATTGTTTTTGATGATGATACAAAACGGGATTGTCATAGAACGAATTTGAACGCATGGTGTATTCTTCTAGGCCGGCCTTGGTCAAGCCGCATGGATCGCCAATGTCATCCTGTAAATAAGATAAGAGAAAAAAAGAAGTATTATATAATGACTCTCAATACTTTTCAAAAGAAATTGTTAAATATTAAAAGGTAAAGTAGGAACTATCGCTATGAAAAGTTCATTTTACATCGATCCCTCAAGTGAATAAATGAAACTATGCCGTTTGAATATATTCTACTTCTCTGCACGCATCAATCTTTTTCGTTCCTTTCCTAAAGAGAGCTCGTTCCTTGCTCCCCCATATCAAAATAGAAGAGAAAGACTCATTTGCCAGATCGGGAATGGTAATCATTTTTATACCCTACACCACGAGGTGGTCAGGATATTATGTCTTTATACATTTGTTTGCAACAGGCCAATAGGAACGAAATAGATCCATAGTTCATTTTGATGATTTGCATAGAATCACATTCTGAGTCGATTTATGCGTGTCCGTCCGTCTGTCCGTCCACGTATTTTTGCAAAGAAACATTTATTGTCCGATGGAGATGAAATTTTCCAAACAATATTTGTTTGGCCCAAGGACGAACCCTATTAAAATTGGTGGGAATCGGTTCAGATATAGATATACCTTCCAGGTACAGAGTGAGATGAAAAAAACTGCAACGAACTTCAGACTGCTGTCATTTCTAAGCCACTCGTCCGACAGCTGTTAAAATTATTCCAGTGAAAGCTCATTATATAGTTTAGAATTGTACAAAAGCATCTTGGTGAGAATTTTCCAGAAAAAAAAGTTATTCGTGATGGAATTCAAGCGTGATAGTGTGATTTCTTTATATTTGGCTGGAAAACCACAAGTGGCTATAGTTAGAGAACTTCAGCATTTAAATGTGAATAACTCTTTTGTGTCTCGTACCATCGCTCGTTACTGTGATTCTGATAGCGTAGAAATGGTTCGAAAAAAAAAGAAGCGACTTGATCGAAACCCGCGTCGCAGTGGCGGAAAAATGGCTCGTGAGCTGAACTTATTGCAATATTCCATTCGGCAAATATTAAAAAATGAGCTCGGGGTAAAGTCATTGAAATTCCAAAAAGTGCAAAAACTTACACCGCAACAGAAATAAAATAGACTCAAAAGAGCTAAATAGTTGCTTCGCTTGGCCGAAAGTGGTGAATTGCCGAATTTGGTTTTCTCCGATGAGAAAACATTCGTTGTCCAGCAGTTTGTAAACAAACAAAATGATCGTTTTTACTTGCCAAAGAGATCAGCTGAAAATGTGCACCTTCGGTTGGGCACCAGAACTCAATTGCCGGCCATGGTGATGGTGTGTGCCACCATAACAGCCGATGGTCGCTCTCCCCTCGTGTTAATCGACCGTGCATCAGAATAAATGCCGAATATTATCGCGAAAATATTCTGTATTAAAGCCTTGGGCACACAAACGTTTTAGCCGCCGCACGCGCCACCCTAAAATGTTTGTAAAATGAGGTTCCTCGCTTCATTTCCAGCGCACAATGGCCACCAAAATCTCCGAATACCAATCCGTTTGGCTATTGTGTCTGGAGTATTTTGGAAAGCAATATTGGTACTAAAAAATACCAAAGTGTGGATTTCCTCAATCAAGCGCTTCATCGGGAATGGGCTAAAATACCACAGAGCAACATTCGGGCAGCGTGTGACGGTTTCATTGACCGTTTGAAGGCCATAATTCGTGCCAAAGGTGACCAATTCGAATGAATCTAAACTTATTTGCTGCATTTCCCATCGTTTTTGACAACATTTCGGCCGGAATAGCGGATATTTCTTCACGAATGTTGTCCTTAAATTCTTCTACGGTCCTTGGCTTGTTAACGTAAACCTTTGACTTCAAATATCCCCACAAGAAGAAGTCAGGCGGCGTCAAATCGGGCGAACGCGGTGGCCAGTCCAAATCACCACTTTTCGACATCAAACGGCCCGGAAACAAATTCTTCAGAAAATCGATTGTTATGCGACTTGTGTGCGGTGGAGCGCCGTCTTGTTGAAACCAGAACTGCCTCATACGCTTTCGACGAATAATTGGCGTTACACAATTGGTCATCATGTCGCGATAACGCTCCTGATTGATGGTAACAGCATGGCTATTTTCATTTTAGAAGAAAAACGGCCCAATGACCGTTTTCGCATTAACGCCGCACCAAACTGTGACTTTTTCGTCATGAAGAGGCACTTCTTGAATCTCCTGAGGTTTTTCAGTGGCGTAAAAACGGCAATTTTGCTTATTTACGGTCCCATTCAATGTGAAATGGGCTTCATCGGACATGATAATTTTGTTCCAAAATTGCTCGTCATCTTCGGCCATTTCGATGACTCTTTGGGCCCATTCCAATCGACGAGGCTTGTTCGCAGGCAACATTCTTTGCGTCAATTGAATTTTGTACGGGAACAAATGCAAATCAATGAGAATAATCCGTTGTAAAGTGGACCGAGCCATGCCCAACTGCTGAGAACGGCGTTTTTGGGATGTTCTTGGGGACCTCTCAACACTGGCTCGTACGGCAGCGATATTCTCGGCAGATCGCCTTGGTCGACTTTTATATGACCTTTTCGGATTAGAAAGAGCCTTGCCAGTCGAAAATTTTTCGTATAAACGCTTAATGGTGTTCTTAGAAGGCGCACTTCTCACATTTTTTAATTTTTTAAAAGCACGTTGAGTTTTCACAATTGACTTCTTCTGTTGAATGTAAATTTCAACTATTTCAGAGCGCTCGCGTGGCGTTTATTGGTTCATGGTAAAAATCTGCTTGGACTGACGCTTCAAACGCGGTATGTCATTAAGCGATGTGAAATCTCTGTCAATCTACCCTGTAAATAATGGCGTTTGACTTTTTTGCAGTTTTTTTTTATCTCACCCTGTATATCTTCAACCGATTTCGGATTAATTGTGCACCAAATGGTCAATATCAGTAAAAATTACCTAAATTTTGGCGCATTCGAATGAATTCAGTCTAGAAGTACATATAATTTGGTGCAAGTCGGTTCAGATATAGCTATAGATCTCATATATATATCACATGCGTAATATGCACTCCACTACAATGATTATGGAGCTTAATTAGATATTGGAATGATATTTGGTATATCTATTGCTCCAAGAAATATTTGTTATCGAAGTCATTTTAGAGTTTCAGAAGCCTCCGTCAAATTTGTTGAAAATCGATGCAGAGTTGAATATAGTTCCCAAATTGTGACTACTCTAAATAGGGTTCATACTTGGTATGATCTACTTCACATAAATTTCCAATATAAATTTTTATATAAATTTTGCTCGGATTGTATTTATTCTTTGTGTCTTTAAAATTTTAGAATATTTTTTTTTATTATTGACCCTTATTTGCAAATGTTGCCATTGAACATAAAAATAAACTCCTAGAGATCAAGGTCTCGAATCTAGAACACAAACATTAAAATATTGAATCTCACACAGAGATTTGTAATGGATGCAACCAATTGCTGTTGGTCTCGGCATCATTGCGAACTAAATCGAACAGTAAAACTGCGTGTTCTAATTTTGTTCATATTTTTTATTTTTCTTCAATTTTGTTTCGTTTTTTCTGCGTAATAGTTGTTGTTGTTGTTGTGTGCCACTGATACAGCAACACAATTTACTGTTATGCATTTTGTTATTTTAATGCATCTTTTTGTACAACACGGCAAGCGGCAGCACCAACGTGCGACTTGCAACAAACAACCTGTGTTACACATGCCTCACAGTGTTGATGATTCGCACAACATCAACAACAATGCGTTGATACAGGTCGGTCGGTCGGTTGGATGCCTAGCTGTTCGGCTGCTGCGGCTGTCTGTCGCTGGTTTAAGAGCGCCGTTAGAAATAAATTATTGCAGATTCTTTGTACTGAGATATGCGTAAATTTTTTTTAACGATCCCATTGTAAAGATAAAATTGATAACAAATAAACGCTGCGACTGTAAAAAAAGTTCATAGCGAGAGCTTTGTACACATGTGTGAGAATCACAATTGGTCCACATGTGGCGGTGGCTTGTTGCCAGCAAGCTGCAAGTTCAGCAAAATATTCAGCAGAAATTATTGTGGAAAGTTTGTTTGGTGGCGGCACATGGTGTTGTTGCTGTCTTGCTTTTTGTTTGCGGAGAAATTTTTGTGTGTTCGTCTTCTGGGTCTTCTTCGTCTTCTTCTAAGATGAAGCGACAAAGATATTCCATGAAATATTATTTCGATTGTGTCACAAGATTTCGTACATTGTCAACTCCACTAAAGCTTCCAGCAAGGAGAAGACGAGGACGCCACAATGCCAAAGGGAAAATGTGCTAAATAACATGGACTACTGGAATTTATTTCAGGTTTCCGAGGGAAGTGGGTTTAAATTGCGAGGACAAATGAACAATGTCTTATAAATACCTACTAAATCACATTGAAAAGGTGCTGCTAGCTAGTAGATACTTAGTAGGTCTTAACATTTCTTCACATAGTGGTCGACCCGAGAGGGGTAATTTTATAAAAGACCTTTGGAGGATATATTTTTTTTTCAACTTTTCCTACATTTTCTTTTTATAAAAGAACTTTAAAGACGTATTAAAGGTCTTCCTATAGAAGTTCCTTTGAAGGTTGTTTACTGATACAGGTTTTAAACGAAAATTTACTTTCAAGAGCCCCTCAAATATACTCTTCGAAAGCTCTTTTGCGAAAAGAACACTTTCTACAAATCTTATATATTTCATATAAAACGTTAAGAATATTTTCTAGAGCCTCATATCCTAGAAACCCCTTTGGAAGCATTACTTAGGAGACCTTTAGGAGGTCTTCATTTTAAAGAATTTGTGTTCGAGTTCTTTCTTTTATAGAACTCCTTTCGAATATCCATACAAGATCCTTTAAAGGTCTAATTTCTATAAAAAAAAACGCTCGAAAGCTGTCCTATATAAAAATATTTCAAAAGCTTTTTAGGATGGAAAAGGCTTCTTCTCTTAATACAAGAATATTTGGTAGTACTATAAAAGGTTTTCTATAGAAAAGCTTTTACAGGTTTGGAGAGAGAGTCTCAAATCCT